GGGGGGGGGTATGACAATTAGAAAATGGTCACATATAGAGTTAACCGTATGGCGTTATGTATATGTTACATATGAGACATAAGAATTTTGGAAAAGCTTTTGTGGGGCATGGCACAAACAATGTTGAGAACCACTGATATAGTTTATACGAGTGCTATCTATCCCTTGAGCAGTTGTACCGTTACTCCTTCTCTTCTTTCTGGTATTTCCCTGCTACGAGATGAAGTGAACCCCACAATACTTTTTTTTTTTGCAATCATTAAATTTCACTAGTAATAACAAGAATTTAATATCTTCTTTCCTTCGTCTACTATCTTCATTTAGCAGCCACGTCATCATGCCAGTGTATATATTGTATGTATATCTTCATACTACAATGTACTCTGCTGCATTATACTTGGTGATAAGTTATTGGAGCGGAGGGTAAACAAACAATGGAAAGTTTAGCACAATTTTCGAACTGGTGTCCCAGCGGTTCAGTATATAGGCGAAGGGCAGACATCAAAAAGATATTTATTTGGTCTATATTTTAATGTCCGTGACTTATAATATCACAATACTATCTTTATCAGATATTGCCGTATTTAAGTTTGCATAACAAATAGACTTAGTTCAAACATTGTTTATAGATGGCGCTGTATGCAGTGAGATGTTAAGGTAGTCTTACGCTGTTACATTACGTAATCGTGTATATTCATTTATTTCCAGTTTCACCGATAGGATGTCGTTGGACATAAGTCTCTGCTATATTATGCAATTTCATCAGTTACATAATAGTGTATTTCTAACAAAATGACATAGATGTCTTTGATGAAACTCTCTGTTACAAAATGGTAATTTAAAATGTTTATAACATCTTTGGGGATGCTTGAAAATCAATGGAAGTCAGTACTTTTTATTAATTGCCCGTGCGACTTCATTCATTTGCTCTGCAGGCAGAGCATTTTGGAAAGGGCCGGCCTTTGGCTGGCCACATAATATAATTTAAACAAAATAGTCACTGTCGATTATTTCTATGTTGACATTTAGTAGACATTATATAACAGCGGTCGGGGATCTTTTTTAATCATTACCCCAAAAATATTTTTGCGTAAGTCGATATTTCCCCCCCCATTCTGAAAAGAAAACAATCAATGTAACAATAATTACTTTAAAATAGAGACTTTTTGATGTAAGAGCAATTTGAATACAGTCTTCGGCGTTTAATCAATTTCTGTTTGTCGTTTTTATATTCATTAGAGTGGAAAAGCCTTGATCACAATGGTAGGTTGTTGCAAATGGCAGCAATTTTTTTACTGCCTCCTCATGTGCAATTTTGAAAGCCTTTGCAGCCTTTGACAACCAAAAAGATGACAGATTTGCTTTGGTCTCAAATTGAATACGTCCTTCAATATTGGATCGAAGTTCAAGAATTGCCTCTACCAAACCTGTAGGTTCTTCTGGTATTTTAGTAATTTCACATTTAAAAGAATCTACAACCCAATTCACAGTTTGTACATCAAGATCTGGAAAGTAGTTAGAGAACCTCTCTCTGAGTTTGGTAAGATGAAATTAGAAAAATTTCCCTATTACCCAAAAAAAATTCATTTTTACCCCATTTTGGGTAATTTAACCCGGTTCCCCGACCGCTGTTATATAATATGCACTTTTCGTATACAGTTTACTGAATGTATTATATGTATTATAGGTGGCTCAAACGTTGTTAGTGAATGGCGTTACAGAAAATCCTGTTTTTAGATTTTTAAAGCATTATGTTTTTCAGACGTAAATCATTGAGATGTTAATTTACCTAATATTTTGTTAGATCAGACTAAACTTCCACTTATTATGATTCCATACAATAAAATTTATAATTAACTAAATTTTAGACACTAATTCTATATTTTGAAGCACATTTTTTAAATTAGTTCTTATTTCTATAAGAATATTTTAATATTTTTTTATTCATAAATTGAATAAAGTTTTGTTATTGTATTATTACTGAAATAGATTCGAATAGAAAGTTTTAGATCTTTTTTATTTCAAAAACTGTACAGGGCGTTATTAGATTTCTTTTAGTATTTCGTATTTTGGTCTAAATTTTAATGTCCGTGACTTTTAATATCACAATACTATCTTTATCAGATATTGCCGTATTTAAGGTTGCATAACAAATAGACTTAGTTCAAACATTGTTTATAGATGGCGCTGTATGCAGTGAGATGTTATGGTAGTCTTACATA